TTTTTTTTTTTTTTTTTTTTTAAATCAAGCACGTATTCACGCTAACATTTAGTCATCTGAGACTTTGTCAGTTTTGTCGAGAATGGTTGAAACTTATATATAGCAAGTGGCGAAATGTAAGATTACGCGAATAGACGTATATCGATATCGGCTCGATGTCGTCGTGATTGGATTTTATAGGATTGATCGTGAACAAGAGAAAGTCTGTTACCTTGATGGGACGAGAAGGAAGAAAAAGTTTAAGGGGAAAAAAAAGAAAACGGCTAAATTGAAATTTGACACAGTTATAACGTACACGCTTCCGACGCGAAGATCCTCTTCAGCGATCTACTCGATCGCGCATATATTTGCTAGATCCTCGTCGGACAGTTACTCGAATGATTGAGCACAGGTGAACCTACTTCCGAAACGTGCTCGTTGCGAGGAGCTAGGTGAAAATTTATCCTCGAGTAACTCTGGCTTTGTCTTTTCCCCTATGGCGCTCATACGTATACGTGAACCTGAATTTTATGGATAAAACAAAACTGTCGGGTCCTTTTTCGGAGACGAGAAAATAAAAGATGGCATATATCTGTTTATTGGCTTACTTGACAATACTCGCGACGAGAAGCGAGCAGATCATTTGGCAGAATGCTTTGAGGGGTTTGTGCTTTGTGCTCCGTGATTATTTCCAACTGACCCGCTTACGGCTCCCTCCGCATACCTGAGCGACGTTTTCGGTCCGTTTCGTGTCTCTCGTCTATTTCCATCGAGTTTTCTCACCCTGCCAACACTTCCGGTTTATTTAGTGCGACTTCCCGCACGAAGACGCGCCTCAAGAAAATGGACGTTAACTAAGCTCTGTTGTACGTTTGTTTACCTATTAGACTCAGACCTACGTCTTAAGGCTGTGCAGGGTCGTTCGTGACTTCTGGACTATTCGAAAGTCCCGCCACTGGAAGTTCCTTGACCGACGTACTTCTCGCCGGAATCTTGATGCACTCTGTGGGGGAAAAAAAATCAAAATAAAAAGACGCACAGCGAAACCCGTTGGCACGAGCTGCGATGCACCTGCTTTTCTTTAGGTTGCATCTCGCCTGAACGCCGTTACACAATAGAGTCGAATGGCCGGGCATGTAGCGTCCAATTAAGCCCATTCCAATTCCGACTTGTTTCTTCTGTTAAAGACGATTCACTCAGTCCAGTCGTAGTCGATTTAGTCGACATCTGAACTTGGACTGTGTTTAGTCTCTCTATTCGTTATTATATTGACATTCAAGTCATTTACAGCCGAATGGGTGGCTCTGAGGCTGGTAGGTACCGCTATACACGTATATTACGCAACTTCCTTCTAGTTCGGAATAATCCCGTATACGAGAACGCCTTGGGATCGCTAAGGAACTTAGTGGTTGCCGCTTTCCCTCGGCCTCCTTAACTCTTCATAATAATTAAATCCATCCATAATAAAAAGCAGTCCTTTTTTTTACCTTTTTCTATCCTTTTCATATTTCTTGTAGGATTCCTTGTCAGTCGGACGCCCGTTATATTTTCTCAGGTCGACGGTTCGAACGACCTTCTCTCGACGTGCGCCTCCAGTAGGGTGGAGTCGAAAAATCCATCAGAGCAGAAGAGAACAAAGTCGAGTCGAGTCTCGAACGGAATGCGGGAAGAACGCGTGTTGTATATCTCCGGGCAAGAAGGCCTGCTTACGTAAACGGTATTCCTGACCTCGCGAACGCTCTGGAGGTTTCATCGTTCCGTCGGCATCGAACGTCACCCTGGACACCATACACGGCGTCAAAATATAACGATCGACCAAGCCCATTGCCGAATAAAAATGCATTGTGCAATTGTCAAATATGTCAGAATCCTTAGCTCTCACTTCTATCGAGTCTTCTTGCAAGGCTTCTTCGGTAGGTAGTACACGCACGTGACTGAATATTTTTATAATTTTATATTCGAATTAATTGAGGAAAATTTACTGCGATTCTTTACGAACGCTTCATGGCCGACCGGCGTGGAGTTAAGTTCGTACCGGACGATCTTGTAGCTTCTAGTATCGATGTCAACATAACCTCGAAACGGATCGACAGTACGCTCGCTCGCAGCCAGACGTACCTCAACCAAAATTAACGTCTATTCAAAGACGTGCTACACGATGCGACGCAGTGCGTCTCTCTGTAATCGGATATTCATAGAATGGAAACGCCTTCGTTCTCACGCACAAAGTATATGGCGACAATTCGTGGACGGTTTTCAAAAGCACAGAAATGATTCAATGATTATTTCCATATCAGAGTCTCCGTATCCTTGGCAGGCTTTATGGCAGCATAAAGGTAGATAAAAGCATTGTTCTCGGTCGGAATGCTGGAATGCTGGAAATAGCTGGTTCGCTATATGGCAATTATCGGCTCTTGCGAACACGCCTATATTTCTACATAACTCTGCATAACAGGCTCTCTTCGTAGGACGTCTTAAACTCGAGACTTCTACACGATCCGCTGCAGACGGCCGTCGGCTGTCTGGGTGTATCTGACGTATATGCGTTTCGTATACCTGCCGACCTTTTTTCTCTCACTTCTCCGCTTACCTTTTCTCTCGGTTCGCAGCGCCACTTCTGCCGCTAGACCGACACAACTGTGTACTAGCCTCAGCCATTGCCTCGCTCCAGATATTCAGTCCACCTCAAATACCCTGACGAATCTCTTGTTTATTTGAGGTCGAAGAATTACGGATTACCCGACTGCCCTTGCTGTTTCGGTTGCTTCACGGTAATCAAGTATACTTGTCTCTCCTTTGTCCGCCATGTTGCATTAACTCGATATTGGACTAGGTATTCGCTGACGTAATTGTGTCGAATTTTTTTTAGTATCTCACCGTAGACGACGTTATCGCAAAAGCGTCTGACAATTGTCTACGTCCTTTCGCCTTTACATGAACGCGACGGAGACGTGACCAAGGACTCTCGTTCCACAATAATAAAACGTGCTGCTATCTTATTATTATGTTTACACGTAGCTGCGTAAATATGCACGAACGTATCAAGAAAGCTGGAAATCAGAGTCAGCGCGATTACCAAATAAGACGGGATTGCCGACGACGTCGAGAGTCGCTACGCTATGGCGGTCGGGCAACATGGGTTTCCGGATAAATGGGGAAAAAAAAAGAATGTTAACCCAACCTAGACCAATCCCTTTCTCTCCTTCTAAGAAAATGATTGGGTCGACCAAAATAAAAGACTCCCGGGGGGAATTAATCGTGGTCTGTAATCTAGGTGGGCGTCCATAAGATAATAGAATGTTCTGCGCATGCGCACTCGAAGACGCGTTAACGTCTCGGCAACGATAAACACCTTAAGACAAATTGCTGGACACTTTGGAACCCTCATGCGTGCTTCATTAACTGTAACTAAGGATATCTGTGCGGGATCGTACGGGAGAGACAGATTTATTGTTTTATTCACGTCTCGAGGCTACGATTTTAGAACTACAACGGAAACGTGTATTCAGATTGATGATTTACATATTGACACGTGAAATTAGCAAGAAAGAGACAGACGCTGTTTTCGTACTAATTCACTGATAACAATTTGCATACCTGCACGTCGGAATCCTATTGATTAACAATAAGCTACTATGGCAGCTAGCAATAACTCGAACCTTTTCTTTTCTATTCCTTTCATTTTTATCCATGTTCCTTTTTTACTATTTGACAGCTGGTTAATTATTCCTAGCTCCCCCCCGGGAGTACCTAGTACACGTGGTCTTACTCAAGGTCGTCTCTGCTCATACCTTATATCCTGTTGCTCATAAAGATCACGGAGATTGTTTCACAATTCGCTTATTCGACAAGCAACGTCTCGTTCAGTCTTGAAGCCACAGGCTTCTACTTTCCTCTCGCTCCTTTGTACTCGCTTGACCCTACACTTCTCCCTCTAGGCAGACGCGTACGTCTGTCAACTTGCAGGTGGCTATATCTATATCGCCAAATTCCTAAGGTATTTCTCCTGGCTACAGGAGCTCTCGAAAAGCCAATCGACGAGTTTGCTTTGTTAGTCAGCAATTCGGGAATTCTCATAAAGTCATATTGACGACTGTCAGCGACTTGCTAATCAGTGAGGAAGAAATTGAAAAATGGAAAAAAAATTTTTTTCTTAAATCTCAATTTCAGACAATTAAACTGTTTAGGAATTGACGGTCGCCGAACCGGAAGTCAACGACTCCACTTATTGCATGCAGAAAGGATGCTCGAACTTTCGTTACTGGACACTAATATATAGCATATACCAGTTACTACTTCAAAAATCTTTATATCTATATTGAAGTTAGTATTGTATACTAGCAGTCGTACAAGTATACAGTACTGTTCTCTGTACAAGGTATAACATCGGTAGGACGTTGTATAACGCCTCGGCGCACCGATTTACCAGGCCCTAGGTACTACATCGTCTCTCGACGTTCGTCCGTGCGATTACGCTAACAGCAAACCACGCCTCGATCGCGTAACGTTTCCTCCTTCCACGGAAGGCATTACATTATCTAACCCAACCCGACTTAACCCCTCAGTCTTTTACTTCTCGTCTCCCTGTGTTACAAACAACCGGGACTTTCTTTTCTTCCCTTTTACACCTATTTCAATTATTTCTGTTTCTATTTTTCTGACC